ATATATATGTATATATATATATACATACGCATACATGCATACATATATAAATACATATTTTATATTTATATATATATATGTATGTATGCATGTGTGTATGTGTCTATGTGTATGTATGTAACGAATAGATTGAAGAGTAATAAGAAAGAAAACTGGAGATTGATAAGTAACAAGAAAGATAGCGAAAGGCTGAAAAGGAATAGTACAGAAGAAAGAAAGTAAAAGGTATCAAAAATGGAAAGAAAGATCGAAATGAATTAAAATACTAGAAAAAAAAACGAAAGATGAAAAAGGAATAAGAAAGACAACGAACAGACTGAAAAGTAAAAAGAAAGAAAACGGAAAATTGAAAAGTAATAAGAAAGAAAACGAAAGATAGAAAAGGAATAAGAAAGAAATTGAACTAAAGAAGGAAAGGAATAAGAAAGAATAGAAAGAAAGTATATAGAAATTAATGCAAGGCTAAAAAAGGGATAGAAGTAACAAGAAAAGAGGAGTACAAGGTATAGTAATAAAAGCAAGAAACAAGTATAGAATAGATAGAATGAATAAAATAGAAATAGACAAAAATTAAGGTAAATATATAATTGCAATTTTGTTAGTAAATATATTTATATATAACTGCAATTATAACTTTATTATTCAATAATTTTCACTTGGTAATTTTAAAATTTAGCCTCAGTGTTTTGCATTTTAAACTATTCAATATAAAAACACAAAAATTAAACTTTTTTTTCGTCAAGAGTCACTGCGCCTCGGAATAATTCGCTAGATAGACGGCGCATTATAAATGCTGTTTTTATTATTATTATTATTATTTTATTATTATTAGTATTATTATTATATATCTGTCTCTTATACACATCTAGTAAATCACTGCTATGTCACCTACTAGAGGTAATGTTTTGATTGGTTAAACACTTTTGGTACTAGTGCATATAAGCTTGCTAATATGGATAATTTTTTCATTCCTGATGATGACATAATTAATGTCGGAATATTGAATCCCAACACGATGGCGTGTATTTCAATACTTGGAGAAACCAAGTATGCAATTAAATAAGTTGCTTAAATAAATGTATTTCTAATTATTCAGTTTACTTTAAAAACAATATTTGATTAACAAATACTTCTTTGAAGTAACTCTAAGCAGAACATTTGTTGAAGTAAAGTAAGCCTCCCTTTTCCCTACATGGAAAAGGGAGGCAAACACACAATTGATCCATGCTTTTAACTACTGTTTATTTTCACTGTTTATAACATGTAAAGTTATTTCATTTGATACTTAACAAAAGTGAATTTTGTGGTTATCTATGAGTTGCATATTTTGGTAGTTGAAGTACTGTATGTATGTCCAGGGAGTTGTTATTTAGATAATTGTTATTCTAATAACAACTCCCTGGTATGTCATTCCTCTACTTTGTTAGTGGAATAACGTTTTTAAAACTTATTTCAACTATCAAAAAATGTTCAATGGCCGTTGTTTTCTGATAATCTCTCAGTACATTATTTACATCTGTTGTGTACCTGTATTTGTTATTGATTCAATTCTTACTTATTACAGTATTTAAATATTTTAAAGATTTTAAAAAAAATATCATTTCTATTACTGAATTTTTTCATTGGGGCCATTTTTACTTACTTGTCATTTGGGGCCATTTTTACCTCGGCCATTTTTTCCGGGGCCATTCTTACCTACATTCGGTGGCCGCAACCCCTGGAATTGATCTCTGTATTGAACCTGTACACCAATATTATTATAGGCCTAAAGTAATTAACCAAGCTCCAATTAGACTTACATTAACAAGCAAACATTTAACTAGTTCATCCGTTTAATTTTCACTAGACAGATATTAATTATTTAATTCCAAAGGTTACTAATTAAGAGTAGAGTATCAGAATACCATCATCTAGATGAAATGTTGACAAAGGTTGGATTGGACTAGGGTCTTATTACATTCAGATTGTTTACTTAAGGAATTACCCGTCCTTGTATAACGTTACAATCAATACGGTTGCATCTGAAAAAAAAAAGAAAGTTTGAATTATTTTACAGTATATAAGAATAATAAACCAGATTTTTGTTGTACACATTTCCAGGAGTTGGATTTTTTTTTAGTACCGTATACTGTGCTTGTGCAAACATACTCCATACTGTGGTAGTACAATTTGTAAAGTGGAATGCGTCAAGGTTTATTTCAGTGAATTTCATTTGAGGCATCAGTGTGAATGTTAATCAGGGAGTTGGTAATTGGTCCTACGTTTTGATAGGTGATCAATGACCGATAGCATTAATTGTCCCAATAATGGACCAAAGTTGCTAAAGGCCATGGAAACGCTGGTCCCAAAAATGGTCTTTAATTGGAGGGAGACCTAAAAATAATAATTAAGAGACTGTATTGTCTGTACTGTCTGTATTGTTGATATACGTCATATGTTATTATCTACGTATAAATATAAACTATTATAATAATTACAATAATGTAGTGTCTACGGTATTTATTACTTGAATTTTTAATATTTTTAAATTTTAATTTGTTTTAATTTTTTTACCATACTTGAACCATGTATTCTGTATTATAATGTATTTACTGTTTATATTAATTCTACTTTAAGTGTCAGTATAAGTCCTACCAGGTAAATAAAAGGCTTGGGAGTAATAATTTAGTTGGTGTATATTGGTTGGAATGCATAGGCAAAGAAGTGACCAATCTGGACATATTTGTTGAAAACAATTTCCAAAACACTGTTGAGGTCACATCTGAGATAGTTGGTTTCATCTCTTTAATGAACCATTTTTATACTCTCTCAAGAATCTTCTTTTTTTTTTACTTTTCAACTTTGTATATATATTTCACTTGATTATTGGATCAAATAAACTACAGTTACAAAATTGGATGTTGAGCCTTCTAAATGTATACTGTACCAGCTAAATGTATACTGTATTATTTAATATTAAAATTGAATTTAATCCAGAAGTTGTTATAGCATGGAAGTATAACAATTAAACCTCCATGGTTATAATGACTAGCAACTCCGTCTTAAATAATAATGCATTCTAAAATAATAACATTAAATTATTATTTCAGTACCGCACAAAATTATTTCTGTGAGAACTGAAATAATTCTGTGGTGAAAAAGAAACAAAATTGTGTAGTACAGAATTGATTCTGTACTACATAATAGTTAGAAAGTAATAATTCTGTAGTACATAATTATTTCTGTTAACTCAGAATTAATTCTGTACAAAGAAAAGTTTGACAGTAATAATTCTGTGGTACATAATTATTTCTGTAACAACAGAATTAATTACTACACATAATAGTTTGACAGTAATAATTCTGTGGTACATACTTATTTCTGTAACAACAGAATTAATTACTACACATAATAGTTTGACAGTATTAATTCTGTGGTACATAATTATTTCTGTAACAACATAATTAATTATGTACACATAATATTTTGACAGTAATGATTCTGTGGTACATAATTATTTCTGTAACAACAGAATTAATTATGTACACATAATAGTTTGACAGTAATAATTCTGTGGTACATAATTATTTCTGTAACAGAATTAATTATGTACACATATTTTGACAGTAATGATTCTGTGGTACATAATTATTTCTGTAACAACAGAATTAATTATGTACACATATTTTGACAGTAATGATTCTGTGGTACATAATTATTTCTGAAACAACAGAATTAATTATGTACACATAATAGTTTGACAGTAATAATTCTGTGGTACATAATTATTTCTGTAACAACAGAATTAATTATGTTCACATATTTTGACAGTAATGATTCTGTGGTACATAATTATTTCTGTAACAGAATGCCTATTTAAAGACATAAATAGCAATATCCCCAACGGCGCCCCGTATTACGAGTGTAGATAAAGTTATCTGTCCATACTACCACTACCCACGAAAGTCCCTAGAGTCCAATCCATCACATTTAAGACTGTTAGTTGGACAACGAAAGTAAACAACATTTCATAAATGTTTTCAAGGGTTGGGGGTATTGTCTTTCATTAGTTATGGCTTTAATATTTGTCAAAATAGAAAATTATTAAATAGGGCACGACGTCATATCCAGTTTTGCTTGGGTACGGAAATTCATAACGAACAGATATCTGGAAAGTCACTTTTGACCGTTTACAGAAAAACAACGTAACGTACATGTCACATACATACATATACACACACAAAGGTTCCTTTGCTTGAAAGCATAGGAACCAAAAATTAAAAAATACCTGACACAAATAAATTTGGGTCAACATTTAGTCATATTTTATTCATAAAAATTACTTTGTAAAGACAATATATGTTTGTACAGATTCTTAAATATTTCCAATCACTGTTTCTTGTAAAAATGAGAGCCATGTTCTTAAACATGTGGCTTCATTAATGTTGTAATCTTACCATGTTTTTTTTTTACAAACAATAGCATCATTTTCATTGTAAGTTTGATTCAACATCTAAGTGACAAGGCAAAACAGGAAACACCAACAAAAAATTGATAAACCAAGGGAGCTCACATCGAAGCAACATATCGATGTGCTACAAACCAACATGTTTTGAGTGGAAATTTCGGACATACAGGGGTATGAGATTCTTCAGCGTATCAGTACTGTCTCCTGCACTACCACACGCAAGCAAAAATCTTCCAGAAATGAAAGCTCGGTTTCCATACAATCGCTACATGCTTTCGCTGACAGTTTTTGGTGACTCATTGGCCAGTCGAATCAGGGAGCCTTCCCAATTGCATCTAGGACTGCTATGCAATACGACAATTGCACTGCAAACACTGTAGTGACAGTGTAGCAAATTTAAGGAAACCACGCTTAACCCATCTCTCACAAATTGACATTTTAGTACTGAATTATTAATTGTCTTCCTGTAGATAGCTTGCCATGGGTAACACCACACACAGAGCAAAACACAAGAGTGACAACAGTGTTAAGAAGTACTGATACCAGCTCCTCTCAACTCCGGACTGTGAGTGTGATACTATGAGTGTGACACACACGGTATTGTATATCAGAAAGTACTTCATGGCTCTTGAAAATATTTATGACTACACTAAATATATTTTCATTTTATGTTTTTATAGATTCATTTATGAAACACATCACCAAGCAATGACCTGATTTTATCTATCATTAAGTTATTATTATTATTATGAAAATTTGGTAAAGCCTGGGTTTCATTAAAATACAAACAGCAGTTGGCGATGCTCCCTGATTATTTGGTCGTATCGGGGAAACGTCAGGGAGAACTACACAATGAAGGATTGCAGTGAAAACATTGTAGCAACTTTGTAGCGATTTTATGGAGACCAGACATAATAATTAATAAACTATTTCCATCACTTTTTGTAAGGCGAGAATTTTTTTATAGCTTGTTTGGCAAACCCGCTGACTGCAAAACATTGAGGATTTTGAATACAAATAAAATTTAATTTTTGGCCCACCCGCCACCACGAAAAAGTGGAAATTTCAGAAAAAATTTAAAGTTTTTCTATATGTTTATTACACCCTTCGCTGCCTTGAAATCTCCAAAGATATGTATATTTCTTCCTAATTATATAAATTTGAAGCATTTAACCATCCTATTTTACATTCACCAATAAAATGTTATTATTATTGTCTCCTCCATCTGGATGTTTTTGGCAAAACTATTTTCACAAAATGTTTATCATTATCTGTATCATGAACATGAAGATCAACATTTGAATTATCATTATAATACTTAATACTCAATAAATTTATTTGCCATATATACATGTACAATACACATACAATGAAATTTGATCTGGTTCCTTAACAAAAACAAACATAAAATACGAAAATTCAAACTTACTGACTTGTTCACTAATTATCATGTATCATCACCATCCTTATTATTATCACTAACTGGCAAAATATTGAACCAACAGTGGGTCATCAGGTCCTTAGGTCCTACCCCTATTGGGGGGGGGGGAAGATAAATATACACTTCGCCAGGGAGAAGCAAAAATTATAATATATCTTTTACATGTTAGTAGACTCTTGTTTAAATAAACCTTTGTCATTTTTTCTGGGGCTATGACCCTTGGATCACTTCCGAGACATTTTGAGCGATGTCTGACATCACAAAAGCTTTATCACAAATCCTGGCGCCACCCCTGTAATTCGGTTAGGTTCCTTTGTTTTTTTCCAAAAATAACTGTTCGGAGCAAATATACATGTATTAATGAATTTTCTTTGGACAAATCAAACACATTGTATCATATCGTATTGAGACCATTGAGATTCATTCAACCAGCTGGGATCTACAAACACCAGTAAAGAATGGGCAACAACCAGTAAGGCGTAAACATCAACTAGCTGAGAACTGACATCAACCAAGTACAGAGTATCTGGACATTAACCAGTACGGACTACCTGGACATTAACTAGTACGGACTATCTGGACATTAACCAGTACGGACTACCTGGACATCAACCAGGAGAGGGCAGCAACATGTGTACACTTGATCATATACCAAGATTGTAGTCTCCACTCCATCGCAAGGTGTACCATTTTGCACCTATAGATTCGGATTAGAAGCAAAAAGGATGCTAATTAGTTAATGAAAATTAGTTCATGAAATCCACATTACTGTAGTATTTGTCTCGTGAGGGGTTGGATTAAGTAGTATGTGGACCAGCAAGTTGCAGGAGTCTTCCTGAACTTGAGACTCTTCTTCTTCTTCTTGACCAGCTGCCGCCACCATCATATTAATAATTTTTTAACTATAATGGGCTTCCATGCAGGACAGACTCGCTTATACTTTATTTATTTTTATTTATTTTTTTTAAAAATAAAATGTCTCATGAGACAGGGTTTGACTCGGGCAGACGGGGTCGTCAAGATCTCAAACTTAGTCGCAGACAGGATCAGCAATCTAGCAAACAAAGCCTCTGCCCAGTGTCACTCTTGTAAGAAAGCAAAAAGCTCCTGGGAACTAAAACCACCTGCCATAAAATGATTATATTTGTTTTTAATACTGTATTATCAATTGTCTCCTGCCACTTGGCTGGTGATGGGTATCACTATGTGCAGCAAAATAAGGTTTTTAACCAGCATCATAATCATAATCATAATAATAATATTAATAATAATAATAATTATTATTATTATTATTTTTATTATTACTATTATAATTATAATAATAATTTCTCTAAATCGGACTTAAGGGGGAATATCTTTGGTGTTATTTTCCCCTTAAGGTCATTTTATTTTCCCCTTAACGTTGTTTTTAAATTGTTCTCTAATTTCTCCAATGTCTAAGTTCCCCTTAAGGTAGGTTTCAGTAACATAATAACAATAATAATAACAATAATAATAATAATAATAACAAAGAAAATAACAGTAATAATTATTACAATAACAATAAAAAAAATTAATAAAACTAAATACAGCCATGATCCTTACTTATTCTAAAGCTCTGTCTTGATTAAATTTTTTATGACAAAAAAAACACTGTTGTATGCCCATATATAGTCATGATTTGCACATATGGTCATGATGTCAGATTTCATCATGACCATATTAGGAAATTTTAAAAATCCTCTCTAGAACAAAAAATCATTTTGCTAGTTCTCTTTTAAGGTAGGTTTTCATAACATAATAACAAATAATAATAATAATAATAATAATAATAATAATAATAATAATAATAATAATTATTATTATTATTATTATTATAATTTCTCTAAATCGGACTTAAGGGGGAATATCTTTTGTGTTATTCTCCCCTTAAGGTCCTGTTATTTTCCCCCTTTTTTTTAAATTGTTCTCTAATTTCTCTAATGTCTAAGTTCCCCTTAAGGTAGGTTTTCGTAACATAATAATAATAATAATAATAATAATAATAATAATAGTTGAAGTTGTATAGCTCATCATGCAATATAAAGCCTCTATGTGCTTGGTGATTGAGGTCTTTGCAAAAAGTTGATGAAACTATAACTTACTCCTTAAACTAGCCATCATCTAGATAATATATTGATTTTTATTTAGAGACCCCTATGATAGATTGGACAATATAAACTGCATCAAAACCTAAATACAGAAAACAATAAAAATGGCTTTTGGTATAACATAAAATGCAATCAAAACGTATCGCCTTAATTGGTTAATTCAACTTACATGTTGCTTTTTGGACATTCAATAGCCAATGTCTTCATTTGTTACTCAAACTTTTCCTGGTTTTTCTCGGTATTCATGCCACTTCTCCATCAGCATAACTCGGTTGCCCCATAGTCTCTTGTACCCATCAAATGCATAATAACTAAGAAAAAGAACTTTAAAGGTAAATAACAAAACCACTGCAGGGGCTGGGGAAGGGGGAATCAATATTCCTATGCAAGCAATGTCACATTTATACAGTGATGGAATACACAACAGCAGTTCATAAAACTTTAGAGGACAAATTATAATGATTCCTTTTAATCTCCACACATAGAGATTGCTTATCTTAGTTACGCCTGTGTATGCACATTGACAAGTCAACTAGTGTACAACCATTAATCATTTAAAGTTAGTGTTTTAAGATAATGAACAGTTGTCAGGCATGAAATTATTGAGTTTGATATTTTTACTATATATGTGATGTGTTGCTATGAAACCCAGACAAGTTAACATTTGAGATGCTGATTCAACCAAGAATGAATCAGCATCAGAGGCCCCTCTCGTAAGTCTTAGTCAAAATACCAGTAACAATCATTACTTAGTTTTTTGGGTTTTTTTCTGAGTTAGTCCGAAGGCCAAGGATATGCCAAACAGTAAGTTTAATACTTTTCTAATAGTTGCATATCCCTTTACAAGACAAACACAAACACAAGATGCTCTACATAACTACATATAATAAGTCTCATTATGAGGCATAAGGGAATGAGAAAAAAAATCCTGTTACCATGACAGGAATTGAACCCACGACCTTGGTATAGGAAGATAAGTGTCTTAACCACCAAGCAATTCAAATCCACTACTACTGTAGTTGTATTTGTCACATTGACAATTGAAACTTACCAACCAAAAAGCAGGCCTGAAAGATGTGCAGCATGGTCAAAGAAACCCCATCTCATGATTATACCAAGTGACTCTATTCCAATCAGAGCCTTCAAAGCCTATTGGTAAATGCAAGAAAGGATATTCTTGTTATTTTATAATATTTTATGGTTATGAAAATGAATGGTATTTTTTATAAAATAAATATGTCTTAGAAATGTCTTAGACAGTGATAAGAACTGTATATCAGTGGATGGAAAATTCTCACAAATGTTGGCGACAATAATTAGTGGTCATCACCATAGCTGCTCGGGCTTATATACAATAGAAATCAGCAGCCACAGACCATTGTATGATCAAACTCAACCATATCCCTGACTGGCAAGGTGCACAAGTTTTCAAAACTGAATGCCACAAACAAAAAAGACAAATACGAGAGGCTAAGAAAACATGATAAAAACAAGAAAAGGCGCATAAAATAATTATATAATATTTACAACCAACTAATCAATCCTGTAACTACATCGCGAAATGTCAACAACTAGCAAACCAGTCATTGTCTGATGAAGATCCGTTGATAACGGATCGAAATGTCACAAACATTACGTTTATTTACAAGAATTTTATGTATGTTCAATTTAGTGGTTTGGCACAGCGGGACAGTTTGGTTTCCTAAACTTGAGGTTGAGGTTTCAATCCCTCGCTGTGCATTTCACTTGTATCCTTAAAAAGGCAAAGCACTTTATCTGAATTGCTTCTCTCCACCTAGGAGTATAAAGTGGATACCTGGTAGGATTGAATGCCAAAATGCGCTGATGTAGCTGCTGCAATGTTATGGAATACTCCCCCATTGTTCATAATTTAATGACCGGGGTATTGATAATGTGAAGCGCATAGAGGGCTTAACAATATCCTCCATATAAGTCTACCATTATTATTATTATTATTATTATAGGATGCTTTTGGGAGCTATTAAATATCATTCAAAATAAAAACGAAGCTTTTTAATTTAATGCCTACGTTGGTAGAATATTCTTTTATATTCTGGAAACTTGTGAACACTTACAGCAGAAACAGAAAGAACCATAAATGCCTATCAGAGAAAGACTCTTCATAGTTCAATAGGAAGAAGAGGGTATTGTGCATCCCCGAAGTCAATTTCTACTTGATGTTTAACTACAATTTAAAAAATGCCTACATGACAAGCTATAAAGATAAAGCTATGTTACAAAATCATCTGGACATTCAAGCTATTGTTTTATTCAATTTAGTGCCGACATTAGCAAAATATCTATTTTTCACTATATCTCAGACAAGGTGTCTAGATCAATATTTTGAGGGTCAAATTTCATAAAAACAATAGTGAAAAATATTGTCTGAACCGAAAATAAAATAAAAGAAAACTTACAGTTCCAGCAGAAAATGTGAAGAATGGAAGAAAAACTATTGCTAGCTTTGCATCTGGATACTGGAAACATGTAGCACCTAACACTGCCATTATTGCACCTGACTGAAATGTAAAAAAAAAAAAACACAATAAAATGATTATCTTACTCTCATTACTACCATTTTTATCATAACAAAATATTATTATTATTTTGTTGACTCCTAAAATATATAATACAACTTATACAGTACCCTACCTCACTTATGCAGACTAATCCAAAAAGTACACAATGTCAGGACGTGGGAACACAAAGGACAATCCGAAGTCCAAAGAGTTATTCTCCCAAGACAATCACCTACTTTTTGCCTGTTTCTCTACTCATACATGGATTGACATTTTCCAACGGTACTTATGTATCTTTTACTTACTGCTCCTAATGATGGATTATATTTCATAGTGACAACTTTAAGAAGGTGACTTGCAAATGACGACCACACACCTAAAAAAAAAATGTTTTTTAATATTACAAAAATATTATGTCTTTTAAGAATATTTTGAATATGGTATATTAATCCACATTTTTTGGTCTGTTGCATTTTGTGAAAAGTGAGTAACTCTTTTTTTCAATTTTGCTATAACTTAGCACATTAAAAATGTTTGAAGAAAAAAAAAATCATGCTCAAGCAGTTAAAATGTCACCTGAGTGATATCACCATATTTTGTGAGCTATCACCCACTCACTTTAATTAGCGAGTGCTCCTCCCCCCCACCCCCTACAGTTCAGGACTCCTGAACCTTGATACGTCAATGAAATGAATATGAAATGAAAATTTGTATCTATTCAAAGGGGTGGGAATGGGGGTGAGCTAGTATTCAGATTTTCAAGACTGTTAAATTTAAAACAATGATTATCAAAAGTACCAAAAACATAGTTACACAGATTAAAAAAAAAAAAAAAAAAAAAATCTCATCTTTCATTTCTGGATAAATTCACCCGTGTTATAATTTGCACTAAATGCATCCGCTGAAACTGGCATCGAGTCTAACCTTTAAATCATATGTGTTTTTCTTACAATAAGAGTACAAGATACGTACTGAAGGATAAGAAATAGGTACAAATATGAACTTGTGACACGAACAGACTACTGCTACACCTACCTGCAGATACATACATTGCTAAGAACTGTTCTTTCCCAAATAAATTTTGCATACTGTAGGAAAATGTCCACAATACATACATATTGACAGCTAAATGCCAGAGTGAGTAGTGACTGAATGTTGAGAGTAACATTGGTATGCACACAGCATCTGAAAACACATTAACATGTTAATTATTCAATCAATATATTACTGTAATTAGAATCAGAATTAGAAAAGTAAGTTACTGTAAAATAAAATTAAGTGGAAGTAATGGAAGAGATTGGAATTATGACAGTAATAAATGAGGGGTAAGTGAAAAATAGGGGAACAATAATTGTTCAGAGATCTTTATAAAATGAGAATATGAAAGTGTAAAATAGATATAGGAACATGTAAAACTAAAGAAGTCACTCCAAACAGCGCATACCTCCGGTCTGTGCCTGAATACCAACAATACTCAGGCCGTGTATGATGGGTGAAACTGCTGCATACCCTCAAGGAAATAATGGAAATAAACTGTCGTATTCAGGCACAATATTTTCTTGAGTATTGCAGCACACCTCCGGCCTATGCCTGAATACGAGGGGCAATACCATTATTTTGGATTCGAATATTATGTACCATCCCATTAAATTTTATGATGATCCATTCATTATTTTTTGTGTAACCATTCTAATAGACAGACAAGACAGACAGCTAGACAGAGGTGAATGCATAACTTCCTTTGGTGGAGGCAATTAGGATTTAAGTGGAAAATGGTAGAGAAGATGTATACAATGGATACAGGAAGTGTAAAATAGAAGAGTGATCAGTGTAAAAGTAGTTGGCGCATCGGTTGTGGCTTTGATTGGCAACCTTGAGTTCGGGGGTTTGAAACTCTTGCTGTGCAAGTCGTTTGTGTCCTTAGGCAAGGCACTTTATCTACGGTTGTCTCTCTCCACCCAGGAGTACAAGTGGGTACCTGGTAGGTTCAAACACACCCTGCACAGATTACAGCTACAACATTATGGAATTCCCCCATAGGGCCTGAGTGTGTGTTCCATATGTGTTTGATCCAGTGATAGGGGGTAATAATGTAAGTGCATAGAGACCTTTACAATATGCGTTATAAAAGTCAACAATTATTATTATTATTATTATTAAATTCTTAAGGGCTAAGTGTACAAATGGAAATGTAACATGGAAAAGGACTATTGTAAAGTGTGAGGGAATAAAAATAATAAAAAATAAAATAAAAAAATATTCATGCTACAGAACCAAGGACTTACTTGCAGCAGGATTGGCACTAAACCATTTGACCATGAAGAGTTGCATAAATGGAACACGCCACAAGAAAAAGACGGCTGCATTAATAGCTACAATACTTAGCACCACTTTCTGTGTCCCCAACAGACCAGAGAACCATTGGTTAATCTGTACATGAAGATAGAATGGAAGACTCAACATACTTTCCTCAATTGATTGACTCCTTCCAATTTCCAGAAATGTTAACTGCGTTTTTCCACATTTTTTTCCTCTACCCTGTTTTCTTATGTTTTTGCACAGGGTTTGGTATTTCTTTCGGCCCCTTTGGTCACTTTCCATGCTTGGATCTCCATTTTGTCCACGCAAAGACCGTATATCAAGATCAAAGGTGTGTACCTACCATACTTTTAATATAAAAGTTTACTGTGAAATATGCATAAACAATTTTTGTCCTCAAGCTATTAAATGACACACTGACCTTCACAAAGTCGGGTTCCAAAATGGGATAGTTATAGAACTCTCCACATCACCATTGATATTACTATTGCGGCCCCAGTTCAAGTAGCACTGACGTTGTGTTGGTTTCCATGTTTTTTTTTTTAGATGACTTACATGATTTTTTTATGATGATGTACTATAATATTTCATGTATTTTTTGCTTTATAGTTTTTTTACAATTTTTTTTACTTTATAATTTCAGTTCTCATTATGGCAATGAGTAGTCTAAAAATGCAAAATTTGTTTTCGTTGTAAATTAAAAGATACTAACTCATTGAATTATCAAGTATTTAATCAAATTCAAAATATGGGAGTAGGTTAACAGATGTACTGTACCTGGCGTCTCAATTCGCCAGCCTTCTCTGACTTGAAGATATCACTATATTGTTGAAGTGCTCGACTAATAGCTTTGGACCTCATACCCTCATATTGCCATATTGCTGCTCCTGTAAAACTACCTCCAGTGACCTACAGTAATGAAATATTAGAAAGTGGTAATTAAAAAACCAGTTATAATTTCAACACATTTCCAGCTGTAATAGACTTACACTCCAATCAGTGGAGTCAGGAGCAAAACAAAAAGCGTTGGAAGTCCCAAGAATTAGTAATCGGTAACAAGTGTCATGAAAAAGTAGCGTAGTGGCCCATTGGTAGGTAGCAGAATATCAACAATATCGTAGCCTCAAAGTCTCTGTAAATTACAGTAGCTCTTCAATTATTACCGTATTTCAATTTCAGTTTGTATTGTGAACTCCAACTGTTGTACACTTTATAGGTTGGGAATTAATTTATGCTTACAGTAGTACAACAAAAGTGTTGTCATGCGAGTCCACATAGGATATTTGTGAGTTAAAACCCAAATTAATTATTTTTTGCTAGATTTTCAAGTGTCTTCTACTACCAACTAATAAGCGAGCTTCATTTAGTCACGTGATCAAAAACTTTTTCTCAGACATTTTAATTTCCTTAGACAGCTGGTACGCGAAACATATGTGAGCCTAGGCCTAGATGTCTATGCTTGGTTATAGATACCCAGATTTAAACGAGAAGTGCGCATCAGTGACTTGGCCTTTGCCGACAACAAGGTTGACTGAATGCGGCTTTTCCCTCTTCCTTTGGGAGCGAAATACAGAGGCTTTTACAACAATTTCCCCGCCATGTTCCATGAAATAGATTAACACACTATAAATATATGATTCATTTGCATACCGCCTACCCTGAATTCTCTTTCTTAAAGAAGGTGGATAGCAAAAAAAATCTTCGCCAACTCGGTAAGGTCTAGCCCCAATTGTCTAAGGTTTTCGTGACTTTGTGGAGAGGGGGGGGGGGCTTCGCGTCTTTGTCGACATGTCAATTGGACTGAGGGCCTGGGACTTTGCTACTGCACATGTTTGTTGTGTTCGATATGACCATAAAACCAACTGTTATTGACAGACAAAAATAAATAAATTTCTAGAACTTTTACAATTTCCTTACCAACATTGCACATAAAATACAAGAAATAGAACCTTAGGACAGGCATTTGCTCTCCTTGAAAGTCGGAAGATTGTGATTTGTAAATTTTTTTAGCTACTAAGTGCTAGAAGGAAAACTGAAAAATAGTGAAAAATAATTAGTTTAATCACAAGGAAAAATGATTATTATTATCATCATCATTATTATTATTATTATGAAACAAGATTAAATTACAGTGCACCCTCTAATTTAAGATGCCTAACACAAAGCTAACCCACTAGTGAAAACCGAACCGAGATCACCCTCCATTTTTAGTCCCAAAGTTGTCTCGAATTGGAGTGCGAGCTGTATTCAAATAGTATCAATTTTAACCATTCAAAAAATGTTTTCATACCAAACATGCAAATGCAAAAGGTTTGAACAGTTTTAGTAGGGGTACTTTCACATCTTCTCTGAAGCGGACTTGAAAATGTTCCAGACTCGATGGCTCAAAGTTTGCTTCTACTATATCTCCTTTCTTTTGTTTTTGTTTTCCTCCTATTTTCTTTTTCTCAGCTTCTGCTATTCTTCTAAATGCTCTGCAAGGTTGGCTTGGTGATGAACTGAAAAAGAGATGCGATTCATAGTTGCATGTGTAATATTATACAATAGAACCTCTATTAAGAGGACATCTTTGGGACTAAAACGGTGTGCAATTAGGCACAAAATTGAGGTTGGGGGTGGGGGAAGGGGTTGGCACATAGTCATACAATGATTCTTTATCCTTAATTAACTTAACAACAAGTTACAATATAATTAAAACTAAAAACACATCAAGAACGAAGTACATTTTTTTAGCTTATAAAGGAGTCTCCAAAAGAGGTTTGCAAAGAAATTTGCATTTAAAAGCATCAATAGCAAGGCTTTGCCCCATCCTCGAACTGGGACTTAGCTTTTCCTGGACTGAAACCAAACTGAGAGGCAGACTTGGCCAGCAGTTTTTTGTGCTAAGACGATCAGGTCCAACTAAGCTTAGCTGTGTGGACTCAGCTGTAAGGTACAGCAAGGCCTGCATGGGGAATATATCCTCTGCACAAAAATTTGGCCTAGAAATCGGTTCACAAATTTTTGGAAATAAAGGCTGACTTCGGCACAGATTTTGACCTAGAGGCCTAAACTTCTTAATAATGTATTTGAAGAAATTACAAGTCTGTGCACCTATTTTCCGCATAAATCTGAGTTGGTTTTTGAGGCATCATTATCAAGCCCACTTTCATTGAATACAGATCATTTCGGTCGCGCTTCATCTCCGTTGCGGTTTGTTTTTAACATATATATGGAGCACTAATAGAGTTGCGAAAATGCTAAATTTAATATAACTAAGCCTAATTATCATTGCAATCGGTTTATCATACTTTTTTTTATTATGTTTTGTTGTCTTTCTACTAAGTAACAACATAGGCTACTTAAAAGCAAATAAAATGAATACTATTATTACTAAATTAATACTATGCTATTTATAGGTTATTTTCTAGTTTTTTGCATTCCTAGTACCATTTTACTCTTTTATCAGACGGTTTTTATTTTCGTTTTGTAATCGATCTTACGTTTCCTATATGAAAACGCAACAAAAAGAATAGCATGAAGCACATACTAAATTCTATTGTTTCAATCATAAGATGATGTTTCAATCATAAATATATCACCGTAAATAGAAGAAAGAGAATATGTTAGTTCAAAGATAAAATGTTGTTAGTAGAAAGATAGCAAAATGGAAATAAAAAATACCTAGGCGCATGATAAACCGATTGACCAACTAATTTTAATAATATCTATAGGGCTTAGGCATATTAAATTTTGCGTTTTCGCAACTCATTCAGCACTCCATATATTTTCGAAACAAACCGCGACCGAAATGAGGTGCGACCGAAGTGAGGCGTGACCGAAACGAAGCGCGACCGAAATGATCAGCTACCATTTCATTCTGATTCATATATTGTGTAAATAGTATTACTGTAGAAATGTATTTAAAATGATCATGATATTTATTTATTTTATTTATTTATTTCCCAGATTTCTTTAATAAGGGGGATCCCCACTACCCAGAAATGTCACATATTTTCCCAGAAAATATTGAATTTTCATTGACTGTATATTTTCAAAAATTAAACAAAATTGTTCTCTTTGTATTAGGTTACTCATAATTCAAACAAACAAATCCATCCATGCATGCCTTTGCATCACCACCTAGGCCTAGCCTACAGTAGGTAGGCCTAAATAGGCCTAGGCATACTGTAGCCTATAGGCCTAGGCCTACAATAAACCTCAACCTTAAAATGATTTTTTTTTTTCGCCTATTATTATTTGCCACTAACAAAAAGCGGACTCTAGGCCTGGCCTTGAGTAGTTATGTAATGCTGAACTGTGACTGTTTCTGAAATATTTGTAATTGGTAACTAGGCAGACCCGGCCTAACGGTAGCCGATTGTTTCGGTCGCGCCTCATTTCGGACGCGGTTTATTTCGAGCAAATATATAAAGCGCCGAAGGAGTTGCAAAATTTAATATGCCTAGGCCTTATATATTATTATAATTAGTTCGTCAATCGGTTTTTAGTATGTGCGCTCCATATATTTGTTGAAAACAAACTGCGATCAAAATGAAGCGCGACCGAAGTGAGGCGCGACTGAAATTATCTTTATTCGGTCTAACTAGGGGGCCTAGGTCCTACTGTAGGCCTACTACACTATACTCCTACTAAATACCACACGAAACACACAGGACTACTCGCGACCACTCGAGACCACACGGGTGCAAAAATGATTAAAATATTATCACACGAGAGTATAAAACTGCTATATAATCAATAAAAACCAACTTTTATAATGGTAATTGTCCAAAATATGGTAAAAATGAATTTTTTTTACAGGTTTTTCCGCCGTGCTTCGGAAGGTAATGTGTTGACATTGAGGTTCTGTAACGCATTCACGTCTCCAGAAATGCGTTTACCTTGACCTCTACCACATTCACTACATACGTTACATTTCATCCTGCGTGTATGCCTATTGTATGTATAGGCCTAAGTATTCTACAATAACTGTATTATTACTGTATCTGCTTCGTATTTGTGTTTTAGCCCAGAGACAAATCTAGTTATCTTAAAAGATGGTATTTTGAGTTTTTTCTATGAAAATAAATAAATAAATGGCAGTAGTACCACTTTTGTGTTTAAATGTATTTTTCTTCTTTTTTTTTTTTTTAATGAAATTTTTCACTGTTTGTTATCTTCTTTGCTGGGATCTGCGGAGGACCAGGGATTTTATCCCTGAGCAGTCCACCAGGATAAACAATAAGGTAAATAAAAAATGAAAGGAAGGTTCTTTCAAATATGGTGTTTGTGCTTTTTAATGTAATTTTGTTGGTTTTGACGTACCGTAACATTGGGAGTGAAAGCTCAATAATTTGATTACAATTAATTGAAAGATGTGTAATGGATATAAATGGTAGATAAATAAGAGCACAACACATTATTTTAGAAAAAATAGCAAAGGTTAAAATTAGTAACATAAATACGTTTATACTAAACGAATATTTCGGTCGTCCCTGCAATAAACCTTCTTTAAACACTTTATCAGCATAAACAATAAGGGCGTAGGCATATACTTTATAAAATAACAATATGGTTTATAGTCTGTACAGAGCTGATGCATGCAAATTAGCAGAGGTTACTTATACAATATACTGTACATGAATTTAGAAATTCTGAATTTAGTCCAACAGTTCCAGACAAAATAATAATAATAATAACTAGATTTGAACTCGTCACTGAGGACGAGTTAGGTGATCCGCCGCACTTTGACCCACGAGGAAGTGTGCGCGTGGCGGATTGAACAATAATTAAATGCTGATAATGGCAAAATACGCTAATTCAGTTTGTTAAAAAAGAATTTTGAGCATTTGAAAAGATTTACTCATG